CTGCAGTGCTGCATTTAACCACTGCGCCACCTCGGCTCTTATTATTATTATTCCATGTTCTACATTCTAAGACAGGAAACAGATCATTCCCAGGCTCAAAAATAATTTTCCTTTCACCTGCACCGAGGCATTTTGACATACGGAAGTACGAACTTAGCAGTTGCACCATGTTATCCGCCTTATTAGACTGTGACTTGTGTCTTGATCAGTTCAAGTAAGTCTTGATTACAGAGAATAACGGAGAGAGACAGAGAGATTGTACTTTCACGACTCAGTTTCTTATAGCACGTTCTCTGACCCCTTGGAGGTCTCGGCGTGGCTCCTAGCAAGCTATAAAGCAATAAACCCAATACGTTCTAACTCAGTTAAGATTAGAATTTGCTGGGTAATTGGAAAACGAGAAGCGATTTTCAATTTGCCGTTTGATGCAAAGACTATGGTGAGAATCCTACTTCTTGCAGGCGTGATTTAGCAGTTTCAATTGTTTCTGTCTTGGAGACTGTTACGCTCAACGTTGGCCAATTGTGTGCTGTATTCTCACAGGAACATTATACCAGACCCTTTGGGACTTAATAGTTTCCTGGCTGGCAAGCAAACGCAGGTGCTTTTTAAAAAGGAGTCTGGTTTTTTAAAACCCATGCTGAATTCACAAACACACAAACAGAAAACACTTGTAAAATATTTAATTGGGAGAACCATCAAGACTACTTCCTATTATTTGAGTAGATATCTCAATAGGCAAAGCTCCCTGGGCGGGTTTACAATCAAATCCATGTGCCCATGCGCAGAAATCCCAAGTGAAAATATATACAATAAAATCAAATACCATGCACTATTAAAAACACTGTCTAAAATTGGCAGCAGCACTGTGATGATTCAGAAGGTAAGAATCAAAGTACAATTAAAAGCCACTTAAAAAGCCCAGGACAAACTGCTAATATAGGTGCTCGGCGATCAACTCTGGGGAAGGAATTCCATCACGGGGGGTACCACCACGGAAAAAGCTGCTCCTCTTGTCCATCTTCGCCTCTTTTGGAGAACCTCATTAAAGGTAAAGGTTCCCCTCACACATATATGCTAGTCGTTCCTGACTATAGGAGGTGTGCTTACCTCCATTTCAAAGCCAAAGAGCCAATGTTGTCTACGAAGATGTCTCTGTGGTTATGTGGCCAGCATCACTAAAAGCCGAAGGCTCATGGAACGCTGTTGCCTTCCCACCAAAAGTGGTTCCTATTTTTTATGTGTTTTCGAACTGCTAGGTTGGCAGAAGCTGGGACAAGTAACGGGAGCTCACTCCGTTACATGGCGCTAGGGATTCGAACCGCCGAACTGCCGACCTTTCTGATTGAAAAGCTCAGCATCTTAGCCACTGAGCCACCGTGTCCCTTTGATTCCACCCCTTCATATATCCCGATGTAAGGCCTTTCGGACTCCCTATATACCTTAGAGACCAGATAAGGACTGGAAAGATACTGATTTAAAATCTCATCATTACGCCGAAGCTACCGATAGCTAGGACCCAGTTAAAACTCAACACTGATAATCTTGCAAAAGGTTCCTTATCCCTTTTCCTACTTCGAAGTAGACTTAACATTGCTAACCCTGTGGCAAAACCTAACCCCAGCAAATTCAACTTGCGTAAAGGACTTCACTTGCTCTCTAAATTGACCCGAATCTTCCCAAGAAAATACAGCAACATCTTCCCTAAAATGTTCGCCCCCTTTGGATCTTTTTGTGGTGAGCCTTCTCCAAAGTTGCTTCCCAATTTCATTTCATTAGGATAAACCGAAGTGAAGTTGAGCAAAGTTCACCCTTGGCCACCTGAATCAAAACACGGGTCCCGAACAGGTGTTAAGAGGGACAAACGTTTTGTCCAGCCGAATCTTGAATCGCTCCTTCAGGATTTTCTGCACTTCTTCACTTGTCAGGACCGTGCTTACTACTAGATCCGTGTCGTCCTTATAATTATATTTGGTTTCAATCAGCGTCCACCCAATCAAGGCTAGAAATCCATCTGTAGTCTGGAGGCTACAGATGGATTTCCTTAAAAACATGGAACTCGGATCAGTTTGGAGTTGCAAACAGGCCATCCGGAAGTCACCTATCATCTTTGGTTGCAAGGTAAACAGATAAATGTCCTTGCAGATCATGTTTTCTATAGCATCAGGGCAGGGAATGTTGTTCTCGGAATCCATCCTGAATTTCTTGCGCTTCACTTTGTGAAAATACCACACTCCATCCTTCTCCGTGAAGCAGAAGATTCCTGGGGTCTGAGGTTGGTCCTTCCCGGAAACCAGCTCCATGGGTTCCCACATTTGATAAGCCATTCCAAAACCACCGTCCACAATGTAGGTTTTGCCTTCAAGGACGACTTTGATCAGAAGATGGTTGTCATCTTCACTGTAGGCCTTTCGCTCCGGGTTATAAACGCGAGCGCTTAAAAGGCCAACTTTGTAGCCCATGATCTGGAAGGCCCACGACAGAAGTTGGTTGTTCTCCATGCACCACCCGCCACGGTGGCGCTTCACAATTTTATCATACGCCGATTCTAAATCCAACGGAATGGTTTCGCCACAGTGGAGGCTGAGATTTTCAAAGGGGACTGCGCGGATGTGATGTTGAAAAACCTCGGTTAAGGTTTCCAAGTCTACTTTTTCCTGGGAACCTTTATAACAAATTCTTTCGAAATAATCCTGAATATTCATGATGAGTTCTCTCTCTCTCTGTCTCTCTCTTGGTCCCTGCAGAGTGAAACAAATAGTTAAACTAATTGTACAAAACTGCCTCCACCGTCGGATTTATTTCTCGGTTGCATGAAACCCCTGGAAAGTAAAGTCATATCATTATCCTCTCTGTATTTCTAATTTGGGACGTCATACAGAGCAAGAGTCGTGATTCAGCCTTGTAACGCTTTACCATTAAATTTAATGATGCAAACCCGTGTTTTTCAAGCTTGGCAACCTGAAAATGAGTGAATGTCAACTCCATGGATGTCAATTTCCCAATTGGTTGGGGAATCCTAGGAACTGACACCCAACTTATGTCAAAGATGCCAAGTTTGAAAAACATCGGCTTGCATCACTCCCACTCCAAAGAGACCTTTGTATCTGCNCTTTGAAGTTCTGTCTGACTGTCATTTGTGAACGAGCGAAGAGGGGGGTCAGAACAGGAACCTTACCTTTTACCTTTAGTCTGATGAAAAGAAGGACCAGGGGTGACTTGACAGCAGTCTTCCGATATCTCAGGGGCTGCCACAAAGAGGAGGGAGTCAAGCTATTCTCCAAAGCACCTGAAGGCACGGTTGCAGGAATTGGGTATTTTTAGTTCAATGAAAAGAAGAACTAGATAGCAGTCTTCCAATATCTGAGGGGCTGCCACAAAGAAGAGGGTGCCAACCTCTTCTCCAAAGCCTCTGAAGGCAGGACAAGAAACAATGGATGGAAACTAATCAAGGAGAGAAGCAATCTAGAACCAAAGAAGAAATTTCCTGACTTTGAGAACAATTAATCAGAGGAATGACTTGCCTCCAGAAGTTGTGGGATGCTCCCAACACGGGAAGTTTTTAAGAAGAGATTGGATAACCATTTGTCTGAAATTGTATAGGATTTCCTGCCTAAGCAGGGGATTGGACTAGAAGATCCACCTCTGTTATTTTGTTATCCAACAATCACTCATCATAAAAGTTCAAAATGCCATGAGCTCTCCCATTTTATACATTTCTGAGCTGTCAAATGAAACTTTACTCCAGGTTGTAAATGTAAATGTTCCTTCTTTATTACTCAGCTCTAAAGATCAGGGTTTCTAATATAGGCGTTTCCTTGCAACACTAAGAAACATATTTAAGTCATCATAAATCAACGTTTCACCTCTATGGAATAGTGACAAGTGGCACTTAAGTAATTTTGTGATGATGGCTTGATGGAACTATTACCTAATTTTTTTGCATGTAATTACTTAAGATCCACAAAGACTCTTTTTATTAAAGGTGTGTATTATGATTGCTATCCTTTAAATCAGGAGTGGTTTCTTCATTTGCTTTGGGAAGAATGCTAGTTCACACAGCCATCCTGCCAAGGGATTAAAAATAAACAAGGTGTATTTATCCTTCTTCCAGAAGATTAAAAATAAGTGTTTTCATTCAAGAGGAACAATGGAGAAGGCTTGGCAAGCAGACCTGTCAAGTAGGAAACCAACTGCATGACTTTTTCCTTAAAACAACACGAAAGAGCAGTCTTTTTCACAGAAGTCTCACAACAATCTTACTCTTAACTTTTGATTTACGCACACAGAGAGAGAGACACAGACAGACACACACATCCCATACAAAATCATAACAAACTTCCATCAATTGATTTCAGGAGAATCTGCTTTGTTCTTAATCTCATTTTTAAAAGCTCAGGGAAGCTGGACCCCAAATTGAGCAATATCCCACCACCAGCATCAACAAAAGAAATGTATTGATTAGTTAACTGACCATATCAAACAGCTATAAAACCAATACATAGGACATATAGTGTCCCTAATAAATAGTGAAGGTCAAACTGTTCCAAATAGACTGTCTTCTTCATCTTAATAATGAGACCATCTTGGTGTGTGTGTGTGTGTGTGTGTGTGTGTGTGNGTTTCTTTAAATCAGACTGTACAATTCTTGCTGAATCATTCGAAGCGCCTGTTTAGAGCAGTGCCTTAATTCATCGCATTTAGTCCGAATCTTCCTTACCGCCTGACCTGGAAAAAATTATGGTCCCGTTAACCCTAGATAATAAGGCTGATCCAATGCAGCCGCGTTCCCGTTTTTTCTGCCGCTCTCCGTTAATCTTCTGATAAGCATGCATCCCCTGGAGTCTGACGCGCAGCGAAAACCATCCGTGCAAGCTGGGTGAAACGATTCCACAGATGGGTTTCAGCCAGCGGTGCTCAAAAATTGCCACATTAATTCATATCACGTGATCCCACATCATAGTAGCTCTCCTTGGCCCCATGAAAGGATTGCACATGTGAATCGTGCTCTGGTTTTGCCGGTGTTCTCTCGAATAATAACATCAATGGCTTGAAAACGGAGCGAAAAACTTTGGTCCCTTTGAAGGGTCCTTAAGGGTCCCTGAGTTTGCTTGTTTTTTTTAATTGCAGATGTTTCATTACCGAACTAGTTAATATCATCAGTGCTGAGCCATGAAATGTCTATAAAAAAAACAACAGCCAAGCTCAGATAGCACCAAGGGTCCCTCATTTCAACCCTGAACTTCTCAATATTCTCCTTTACCCCCCCCCTTTCTCTGTCCGAAGCAACAAATATTGTCGAAGCAGGTCTGTAAAGAATCCATAGTAATTCCGCTTTCTAAGATATGCTTCGTTTCCTTTTCCTTTTAAGCAAACTGACTTAAATGTTTGTTTAAAAAAGGGCATACACCGACAGATAGATATAGGTATTCATAAACCGTATAACCCCACACTTTTCGGATGTTGAGGACTTGGGGTTTTTGAAGTTTTTTCCTCTTTGTTCTTTTATTTTGGGGCGTAAAAATTTCAACAATTAATAAGAAACAATAAGTTGCTTCTTAAAACGAGAATGTAGATTTAAATAATCCTAGGGTTCCCCCCCCCCCGCCAAAGGAAATAAAACCCCTGACTCTCTTAACTTACCTCTTAAAGGAAGAGAGAGGATAGATTTAGAAAAGTAAACTCAACAAACCTTAAATCTTTGAGGATCTCTGTACCCAAATCTGTCCTTTTCTCCCGCTGGCTGTTTGAACACAAAGTAGGTTTTCCAAAAATCAGGGCATTTTAAGAATAGTAGGTGTTGTGGGTGTGGGTTTCCAAAGAGGTAAGTTAAGAG